TCGAGGAGGCGGCGTGCTCCCTCCAAGTTGTTGCGAAGCACTCCAGTGTAGAGCGGCAGACTAAACGCTGGGATTGAGCAATTATGCGGAACGCACTCGTGAACGGGACGCCGCCGAGTGGATCGACGTTGGCGATCACCATCGCGATGATATTATGTCGGCTAACCCCCGAGGAAGGTGACGTGCACCGCGTGCGTGGAGCAGCACCAGAAAATTGTTTCGTCAAAATTCATTCTGCATTTGTTTCTATTTGTTTTTAAAGGAATTTGTTTGAGTTGATTTTTCCTTTTGTAGATTCGGGCAAAATATAGGAAGGAAAAATGGAAAAATTTGAAGGAAAATGTACTTGATTCAGTGCTAATTTCAAGGAATTCCTTGGTTCAGTGAAATTCCTTGGCTTAAGGGAACTGTTTTCTTGGTAAGAGATTCCGTGGCCCTCGTTCTTGCTGGTTAAGAAAAATTGAGGTAGAAAAAAAAGGGGAATTATACCAGCATCGTATTGTAGGAGGACCTTTTTTTGTTGTTGCTATTTAATAAAAAAAAACTATGAAAAGGATAAGAAGAGCACCGATCTTGCCGTGGCCTTGCTTGCTTTATCGCCCGCAGCACAACCAGTTTTACTCTTGTTTTCTTTGTTGTTATTTTTGTTTCTTTTCGTGTTTTCTCTTCGTGTTGTGTATTTTGAGGCGACGATCATGATGATTGTGATCATTATTTAATGTCGATCATTTGTGCGGCCGAGCATATAGAATTATGTGTAAACAAAGTGACTGATGGCCTCGTTTACTCATTTTGCAGGAGGATCAACAACAACCAGATCAGGCAGCTGCCCGACAACCTGTTCACCAGCAACACCAAGCTGCACCGACTGTAAGTACGACGAGTATACACACCGTTTAAAAGTGTTTGGGTCAACAGTAACGAATTTCAAGTTGCCCGCTTTAACTTTCAATACAATAGGCTACAACATGCACGTTCGTTTTCTTTCATGTTGGTCAAGTGTCGCTAAAGTCTAGAGAGAGATCCTACAAATTAAGTCTATATTTGCGAACGTGTCGTACCTAAAGCGGAGCAAGTTCGCTATTCCAGCAAGCATATTAATTTTTTCGCAATGGACGACATGTCGAGTATATGCCACGGACACACACACACAGGCGCACGCGCATTGCGACCTCTTCCCACCACAGACATTCCTCATTCATTTATTCCAACAGGCATCGCGCCAGCACGTAGAGAGAGAGAGAGAGAGAGAAGCTGGGGAATTTTGCCTCTCTTCATACCACACATCAGGGCGATTATTTGTCGGTACTTTTTTTGTACCATTATAGGATTTGTCGCTGAGCTTGCGTGTGTGTGTGGAAAGGATGGGGGGGGGGGGTGTCCGTGATCCCCCATTGATATGCAGTCCCACGTAACTCTCGCAATGGGATTCTCTTCCAGGCCACGGAGCATCTGGCTCGCTCTCTCGGGCACGCCCCCCCCCCCTCTCTCTCTCTCTCTCTCTCTCTCTCTCTCTCTCTCTCTCTCTCTCTCTCCAAAAACTATTCGCCACGAAATTGCGCTCTCTGTCTCCTCTCTCGGTCTCCTCTCTCTGTCTCCACTCTCTGTCTCCTATGTCTCTCCTCTTCC